CCTCAGGACAGCATGTCAAAGATAATGCCTACAGCTTCATTTGCAGTACTCCGAAGCCCCGAAATGCGAGCTAAAGTCCCATTTTTCACCCACAGCTCTTTAAGAGACATTAAGTGCGGTTAAGGCCTTCTCATATCTCTGAGTAACAGTATATTATATATATCCAGCTTAGTCTCATGTCTAAAGTGACTCTCAGAAACTTTTCGCCCAGATTTAGATAAGCTCTGTTTGGAACTGGGCAACTAATCGATGGAATTGAAGAAATTGAAGAATTCCCAATGAAGAGAAAAATCTCAGGGAGCCAAATAATGTTGCCTTGCATAACTTTGGGCGCTGGCTAATTTTTCACTGCTACTTGAGTTTCTGTTGTCTGGCATATATGTATGAAAGCAATTCTGAAATGATCAGCGAAGGGATAAGTGTAAAGTGTTTCTTGTTTGCAATAGAATTTAACTGCTAATGGTCCAGATCAGATATCTTGTTATCTGGTCTGTTAGCGTCTTGCCATCTATGCTCCTTGGCTAAGCAATTAGCGTTTGCGCAACGCCAGGTGCCTCCTAAGGCATTGGTGCTCAATTTGAATACATTTCAAATTCCCCCCCACCCGCTTAGACAAATACCTAAAGTCAAATGAAAAATTAATAAATAAACAGCTTAACGGTTTTCAGACTACTTTTCTATACAAAATTTCATTTACAAACAAAATAAATAAATAGTTAACACCCATGTTTGCGCTATTACTAGGTCATGGCCATTTGTGTAGTGCGAAAAAGCAAAACCATATGGAAAGAGGAGTAAAAAGCCAAGTGTAGAAAAGGAAATTAAAAAATGAAACTAAAAATGCTGAAAAGAAAATAGAAAATGGGAGAAAAGCAGCAAATTAAGTAGCTTAAATACACTGCAAGTAATTAAGGTGAAATTTTTGCATACGAAACCCCTTTAGCTACTAAAGGGTGTTTATTTAAACATGCGGCTTTCAATGGCACATTATTTATTTTTGGATTTGGTTTTTCTGACAGTTTTTGCATGGTTTATACTCAGTTTAGCTTGCTATTTCATGCCCTGCAGAGTCGGTAATTCGAGCAACTACAGATCGGTTTCACAACATGTTTACTCTAGTTTATAGTGGGCATACTCAGAGATGCCATACAGTGCACATAGAAGACCTTTCTTGTTACTGAGCAGCAGACTGCCCAATAAGAGCCAAATGAGTCCATTTGTCATCGTGCTCAACTTATAGAACTCTCTGCTCATTTACTTTATGAAAGATTTTGCGGAAGAATCTTGATTTATGGACTTACAAAACTCAGCTCGTGCAAGAATTGATACCATACGTCCATCAAGCGCGTCGCACGTTAGATGAACAAAATTTTGCTCAGCAAAGAAGCTCACTTTTGGTTGACTGAATACTTGAATAAATGAAATTATCGCATTGGAGCGATGATAATCCAGAGCCATTGTTGATGTTACATCCTTAAAAGATCGCTGTTTGGTGTGCTTTGGAGACAGTGAAATCATTGGTGCATAGGCCTCTCGGCTGGTATTTAATCCATCCGCCGTGGTCACTTGACTGAAATCATTTTGAAAACATAATGTCAAACCCTTATCTCTGTAAATAACCTAAATTTTTGGTCGTAACATTAAATTATATTCGTTTGATTTCTTCTTGGAAGAAACACCCTTTACTTGCCAACCGTCTCGTGCGTAAGAAGCCGGCCTGCAGCGGATGTGCTGCATGCTGGTCAGTTGGGTTGACATTTGATTGAAAGGTTAATATGTACAAAGTATGCTTGTAGTGCAGACTAAGCTGCATAGTTTTCTTTTTAACTCAAAATGGCAACACTTTCATAGCGTTTCGGTGGCGAAATTACGCTGCCGCCGGCTGCAAAACAGCAAAGAAAGGCTTGCTAGAAAAAGTCTTTGCGCTTGCGTATGCAGTTTATGGCATACCTTAAGTGTCTCTCACCACGTACGAGTATAGCGTAATACGAATATGTGTATGTGTGTTTGCTTATATATATTTACATGTTCGTACTTCTATTTGTGTAATAATAAACATTTATTTTTGCATAATATTTTTAATAAATGTATGAGTCGTTTGTAGGCCCAACACGTTTTTCGCTGGCCTTTCTTTATCAAATAAAACAACAAAAATAAATGCAGATCGTGGCTGAATGTAAAAATGACATAACTAACAAATTTTATTTTTTTCATTTTTCAATTTTTTTTATGCCATGAAAGATGTTATTTATCAATTCGAATAAAAATATAGAAAATTCTCAAAATTTGTTTACTGCATTTAGGCCATTTTTACTATAGTCCTTTACCGTTACAAGCAAGCACTTTCGTCATACACGCGATTCGGTCATGCCGAACTGACTTCACTGTCTCTTTTGCCCGCCAAATTATGCACTCATTGAATTTTTAATTATCCACAACTCTATACGAGTACATACTTGCATACACACATACATACATACTCGTACATGCATAGCCACTTGGTTTGACAGTTAGTTAGTCGCTTCAGTGAATTTTGTTTAAGCCACTTGCATACCTTATATATAGATATGTTTATATGTATGCATATGCGTACAAATTAAAATTATTGTAATAATTAATACATATATATGTACATGTGCATGTTTTTAAGCGGCAAAAATGCCATCTGCCACTCCATGTCGTACTCTATTAATAATAGTATGAAATTATTTTGAGTAAAAAATAGAAATTTTTGTTATTGTTTATTTGTTTGTTTCATTTTCGCTGCGGGCAAAGTACCGCCAGTCATTCGCTTGTTTTTTTTTTGCTTTTATTGCTAACAACAACAAGAGCAAAAATTAAAAAAAAAAGATACGAAAATGGTTATGTGAATTACGAAAACGTTTGTATTTGTGGCAGTTGACGTTTTCGAACGTCGCTCTGCAGGTTGGATATCTTTTTGAATTTCACTTTCATTACAGAATGAAATTAATTAATATATTTTTAGTTTGTCATCTATGAATTTTCATGAATTTTTCTTACACACTCGTACTATTACATAATTGGTTAGTTATATAAGGTATATATGTAGAATGTATGTATTACAAAAGCTTGAGGGTAGAATGAAAGACAAGATCGTCGTTTTCTCTTCCAATAATTCAGGCAGTTGGATCTTAATAATACCAAAGCAAAGCGAGGATTATTACAATAATCTGAGCCCTCCAGCGGGGTAAGACAGGCCTGTCGTAAGAGGCGACTAAAATCCAGTAGTTCCCACGACAGTCGGGTCTTTATAACGGAACGACCGGGATTTGTATCCGGCCAAAGACTGACACTCCCGCAACATTCCCCAAGGAGTACTTTGGGGAATATTTTTGCGGTTGCAACAACAGCAACAACAATTATCTGTACCTTTGGCCAGTTGTCAGATATGTTTAGCCTTTAACTGCTGAAACACACAAGATTATTTGCACGATACCAACTCAGCGCCTTCTTAGCTCCTTGAAAAACCAAACTTCGAGCGATTCGCATACAGAAGCTTGTTCATTGAAAGTCTTAGTCAGACTGAAGATTAAACCCACTAAAATCCGTCCAATATCTGATGTTCCGACTAAAACTCTTCTTGCAGTTCTATTATAAGTCTATGTCAATAGAAAAGGGAGCTGAGCTTACGTTTACCACTGAATGCCTGATTGAGGTTGTAATCTTCGGCACCGTAGTATCTCTCTCTCTGTCTCTCATTGAGAGCCATCACACCAAATAATGCTTACAGTCCACAGAAATCATGTTGACCATCGCATCCACTAATAACTGCTCGCTTCTGGCTTTTAATATCTCATCTCTTTAATATTTAACTAAAGCGTTGAGTTTTTCACTTTCGCCTTGTGAATTCATAAATCAATTTGCCATTAATTATGAAGAGTACGAAGAACTTTCTTTTACTTTCTGCTTTTCACAATCCCTGACAGAGTCAGAAACTAATCAGATATGTGTAGAAGGGTCAGAATCACTCGCTGCACTTAGCAATCCACAAGCAGGCGGGTTGACAAACGTTCCAGCATGATTTACGGCTTCACAAAATTATGGTTTAATTTTCGTCAAGCACGAATTTAGTTTTAATTTAATTATAGTTACGGTATAATGAACCGTTGCTCAAACTTAGCCTGCGCTGACAGATATATAGCTGTAATTTAATTTTACTAAAAAATGAAACCACGCTATGAAAGAAAATTGAAAAAAAGGTAAAAGCAAAACATATTCACTCTGTCGACTGCTCTTAACAGTACACTAAATAGAAAATTAAATAAACGTATATAATAATAAAATAAAATAAAAAAATATGGCCCAAATTAAATAAAAAAGATAATCTTAAATTGAATTAAAACCAATTCAAATAAAACTAAACTAAAATTAAAAAACGAATACTATTAAATAAAACAACTAAAATACATTTATTAAATTAGATTAAATAATTGAAATAAAGTAAAACAAAAAATAAATACAATAAAACACAAAAAAAAAATAAAAAAATATTATTAAAAAAATAAAATGAAAATAATATAAATAAAATAAAATAAAATAGAATAAAATAAAACAAAATAAAATAACATAAAATAAAAAATAAATAAAAAATAAAATAAAATAAAATAAAATAAAATAAAATAAAATAAAAAAGAAAAGAAAATAAAAAACAAGAAAATAACAGAAAAGAAAAGAAAAAAATAAAATTAAATAAAGCAAAATTAAATAAAGTCAAATAACACAAAAAATAAATACCAAAAAAATAAAATAAAAAAACCAAAGTAAAGAAAAAAATAAAATAAAATCAAATGAAATGAAACAAAGTAAAACAAAAAAATATTTTATTGTAATTATTTATTTATAGTAAAAAACAAAAGAAGTAAAATAATAATAAAATAAAGTAAATTAAAATAAATTAAAACAAAAAATAAGATAATATAACATAAAAAACAAAATAAAATAAAATAAGGAAAAAATGAATATATTAAAAAAAAATAAATGCAATAAAAAAATATTAAATAAATTAAATCTAATGAATATTGACTGAAATGACAATCAATAGTATTTGATTGCTAAAACTAATATCATTCACATTTATTTAAATATTTACGTCATCAAGTAACAGAATTCAGTATAATCAATTGAATTTTATACCACCACTCATTTCATCCACATCAAGCGCTGCCAACTGCTTGGCGCGCTTCATGCGATCCAATAGCAGTTCCCCCAAAAAAGCCAGAAACGCAAAAACTATACCCAGTAGCCATAGCAGCAACATGCCTACAAAGTTCGACATGCCCAACTTAACTGGACCAATATCATCTAAATTCGAATACTGTGAGGCCATTAGTTGCTTCTGTATGTTGCCATCCAAGTAGTCTGCAACACTGCGCCACTCCCAAAATTTGTCCAGACCCGAGGAGTGCCACATGACAACCATTTCATTAAAATTATCCAACATTGGCCACATACGTGCCGTGAATGCAACGGTATATTGAAAGTAAATATCTTCAATCATAATTTTCATTTTACTTAAAACGCTGCTAGTCAAATGATCCTGTACGGCAAAATGACCTGAAAAGAGTTGCTCGAAAAAAGGCACTCACATTTGTAAAAAATATTTGAACCCACCAAATGGCAGGCGCTCTATGGTAAAGCCCATTTCCTGAGTTTCAGCCAAAACCGTCAATTCTTCAGCTGTGTAGATTTTGAAATTGCGCAAAAGACCCTTCATGATTTCCTGAAAATAGAAAATAGAATTTCGTATCAAATATTTACTTCAAGTTGTTTTACGTATATTTTATAATTACGCTGTCGTCATCCCTTATACCGGCCACCCAGGCTTCAGAGTCTGCACCCCATTTGAGTTGGAAAGCATAAAGACGCTCTACCGAATCAGCCGCTTGTCCAAAGCTGACAAAAGAAAATACTACGTACCTCTCCACGGTTTACTACACCGCCAACTTACCTAGGCACAGTCAATATGCTGGATAAACCGCCACCATAAATACTCGTTACAACGATATCATTCAAGAAACTAGCGAAGAGCATTAACCTCAGTGGCGCAAAGTTCACCATCGTACCCTTATTCGATTGGGAGACGAAGAGCATCATTGTTGTAGAGAAGGCATATTCAAAATTGCGAGCCCAACTATTTTTAAAAGGCAAACGCATATTTTCACTCAGTGCTATGATTATTGGTCGAAAGTGATCTATAAAGAGTAATGCTATAATTTCCACGCACAAACAGGCGAACACGAAAGCCCAGAGCGCCGGTTGAAAGGGTTCAATAGGTAAAAGCCAGCTAGCGAGTCGTCTGTTGGAGAAAGTGGAAAGTGAAAAATTTAGATTTTGGTACAAAGAATCTATTGCGCTTTACTTGGGTGCCGGTACTACACAGGTAATGCCCGAACGTCCAATATACATTGACATATCCAGCGCTACATAATCGGCGTACCTAGTTGATGATGGTCAAATTTTATTATTTATTTAAAAAAGAATTTGATAAATTAATCATTGTACTCACCAGGTATACATCGCGCTCATACCAACCTCCGCTTTTCCTCTTGCTAGCATACCGAGAGCGGCTTCGCCGGTCATATTTCTATAGGCAATACCCCAGTCGTCGGCCTCAGCTGCATTGTGAAAAAGTAGTAGAGAAAGAGAGGGAGAGAGAGAAACGTTCTGAGAGTTCAAACGATCGCATAGACTTCAAAAATTATAAACTCTAACTCAGAGAATTCTTTCACTCAAGTACTTACATGTATCAATGTGTACTGAACAGTTATGCTTCTCACAAAATGTGGATAAAATTCTCTCCTCTGTGCCGTCCAGCTCTACATGGCCGCTCGTGTCGTTGGTAGCAAAGGCTCTGTCACGTGATGGAGCGCCAGGATACTATAAATAAACAGTTCGTGAGTATCACTTTCAATAGTTTAAAACACATTATATTTTCGAGTGAAAAAAGATTGCACGCACATATTTCAAAACCACATCTGGTCTATAATCAAAAGCTGCTAAAATAACTTCACGTCCTTGTAAATCGGAAAGCTTATCTGGAAATAGATCGTTGCCATACTGAAATGTATTGCTCTCAGCATTGAAGCGATCGAGTGGATAGAGTTGCTTCGGGTTATCAGCTCGTGAGCCAACAAATTTATTAGTTTTCAAATCAAACAATGCAGGGTTTCCAATGGATCTCTCAACCAAAAGTATGCTGGATTGATCTGTAGATAGAGAGAGAGGTTTTTAAAACAAGATTTTAATACTTTTATATATTTAAAAGACAATTTCGAAAAAAAAGTTTGGATATTATTAAACTCTGCCAGCGGCTGTATGTGACGGTATCAAGTATTCGAGCGAGGTATGGGTATATGTATATGTACATGTATGTATATCAAGCTTCTTGGAATGAAAAGGTTTATCAATTTAGCCATCTCTGTCTGTCCATCCGTTCGTCCGTCAAACCACCCGTCCATGTATCCGAAAACTCAATAAACAGTTGATATATTTTACTGAAACTAAGTTCACACATTCCTTGGATCATAAGTATCAACGCTATAAATGAAATCGGACTAAGCACACGCCAATGTGCCATATAACGCTCATTTTGAAAAGTACGAAAATCGTGAGAGCTTAGTAACAACTCCTACCTTCCTTTATTTTCAACTAATTTTCGGGTGTTGGTCGAACCAGGGATCAAACCCTGCCCATGCGAATATTGATATGCAATGCTAATCACTCAGCTATTGTGACCATCATAGCTGGTATAGGCCCAAAAATAGACCTTGCTCCATATAAAATATTTATTTATTTTTGAACGATTTTGCGGAATTAGGTTCAAATATTCCAAAAAATTTTCGAGTAAAAGTTATCTTACTTATCTTATCAAGATAATTTATAATAGTTATAGTGAGCTCAAAGTATCTGCCAAAAAAGTAAAAAAAAAATACTCAATTCGAACAATAGTAAGCCCTCCGCTCATACAACTGGCCTTTGGTCCTCCTATTAAAGTCAGAAAAGCCACTTGACTTTTAATATAAATAAAAACTGAGTTTTTAATAATCCAATCTACCCGCACTTAGCCTTTCTTAAATACTTTTTATTAATTCTTTTTCGAATATAATTTTTTTAATAATAAAAAAAAGCATTAGAAAGCTTTTCTGTCTTTCAAAAATCCACTTCTTCATACTCACCTTCGAAAAATCGATGTTGAAAGTGCTCCTCGGACAAATCACCTTCATTGTAAACAAACAAAAATTTATTATTTGCTGAACGCCAAATGGAATAACGACTGGCATTAATTATGGCATCAATAAAAATTGGTATATCCAATTGAAAGGCTATAAAGCTCTATGCAAAGAAGAAGAAAAATATGAAGAAAGAAAATTAATAAAATAGTAGAATCAGTGGCACTCAACATGTTTACAATGAAGAAAATTACAATTCCAACACTAACTTGACAATGAGACTTTTCTATTGACAATGTTAATTTCTCTACAAACGGATTTAAGACCACATAGTCATTAAGTAGCTCCACACGCTTGGCCGCAAAGTCAACTACATCTTTGGCAAATGAAGCTTCCAAGTCATGGCGGCGTATATTTACGACTGCCGCAGCTGGTGGATTGGCCTGCTGCCAGTTGATGGTGAAGTTCTCATTGTCAGGCCAAATGATGCAAGTTGTGGTGCGTAGCAGAGAGGTTTGCACTGTGGGAAAATATAAAAAATAAAATTATAAAATGGAAATTTTAAAATAAGAAAATTTATATAATCATATAGTTTGACAACAACTTAGCACTCCAAACATTCTCGTCCAATAAAAACTATTTAATAAATTTGCAGCCAGCATTTCCCTCTTTGGTCTTTCGAATAACTTGTAATTCAATAGATCAGAACTGACTGTTCCTCAAAGCCACTTAACCTTCAATTATATAGCGACTTCAATTTGAGTTCCTCATAAATGTTTAAATAAAATTAGTCGCTGAGCTTTGGGCAAATACTCCTTTTTGTTTACCAATTAATTATGGCTTTCCCTTGCGCTAGCCCACTTCTGACTGCTCTCGTTCTGCAATAAAGTCATTTGCAATTTTTATGATTTGCCAAATTGCCAAGCAAATAAATGGTCAAGAGGTTTCAGGATTTATGTGAGTATAATATAACTAGCTAAGGTCAATTAGATTTTATTTAATTTAGCGCTTATGCAATTAACTGTGGTTTGGAAAGCATTATGAAATCATTTTTATTCGATTTCGAAAGGATACTCGTTGTAAGAAAAAGTAATTTCATAAAAAAATTTTGAAAGAAAGATTAAAATTCAAGAAAGTTTCAAGATTTTGCTTGACCAATGTTGGTGCGAACCGATCATCCGGGATCAATGCTCATTACTCGAAATTTCACGAACTCGGCCATTTGAAGCTTATTCGAATATTTTTGAGCATGTTGAACCGAAATGTTTTGCTTTTTTACTACTTTTGAGCCACTTTTTCTACAACTCTAAAATTATTAGTCCAAAAATATATAGAAATATGTGCAAATATATCCTCTCCCTACTAATTGACCTAGATACAGCTTAGCCGAATCCCCAGACTTTTGCAAGATCGGTATCAGTTTTAGAAAAAAATTGAGACTAGGATCTTCTCTATCTGTTATTTCTGCCGGCGTACATATGCATAGTCCCCTACTTTACTGCTTTATTGCATACTCTCAAAGTGGCATTCGGCCGAGCTCCTCCTCCGATAACGTGGTATGTGTCTTGATAGTTTTCAAACGAATAAAGCGACTTACAGCGACGGTTCTTTTGAAGAGCCTTTAATTCATGACAAAAATACACTCGGAGAGCTTGACATTCCCTGCCAAAATTACCTATTTAGCCCAAAGTAAAATCTGTTAGCAAAAGTGGTTCTGCGTGGGAATTTAAGGCTGACATTGCTGTGGGTGTTGATGCTCATTCTAAGAGCGACGAAATTGTCGACGACTTCAAAATTATGACTGCCTTAATATCGTGTTTGGACTCTCAAGTGGCTCTCACGATTTGGCGCATTGTGAATATCTGTTCCATGATAGAACTACCATAGCTTATCCCATGATAATTTCAACCAGACAGAAGACGTTGATGCATGTACCTAATCAGTTCTTCGCCACCATATTTAAAAACCAAGCTCATCAATAAACTCAGCCGCCGCTCTCAAGTGAGCAATCGCTATGTCGTATATTTTTCTTCATTACTGTTTCCAAGCAAGTTGCTCTGGACTCCGAATTATTATTATTTTTTTTCTGAACCTCATTTCCCAAATCAACTCTCGGTATCAGATCTCATAAAAGCGGCTCTGGACATGTCTCAAAAAATAATATTTCGAAGTATCATTTACTAAGTTAATTTCTTTTCAATTTCGAAGGTTCGTTAAACATTTTTCAAATATAATTAGTTAAAAGTTCCAAAAAAAACAACTACACCAATCTTGTTCGAATTTTACACAATTCTTTCGTTAAGATTCTAGTTCTAGAACACAGTTCTTCTCACTTGGAAATAACCTAAAATGAGTTCCACTGTTCACGCAGACGCTGTTTTTTTTCGTTGGAAAATGACGTCAAAATGGCGTAGTAATGAATATTTCTGAAAATTTTCAAAGTTATAAATCCATTTAACCCATGAAGTTCTCTGATGACTTGTGTATTCTGTTAGACCTGCTGCCGCTCAGCTGCTGTATCTCGCTTTAAGAGTGCATATTTTGTTTGCTTTATAAGATACCCTACTTTATTTATGACATCACAGATCTCTTATCAGTCTTAGATAAAATGATTTTAAAACTTTAAAATACCTAGGTTACATGGTCACCTTGATTATTTCACAGATTACTGTTATTCTCAAAGATAAGTTAGTCATGTTTCAAGTTTCTTTATTAATGGTTTATATAAAAGCGGTGACCGACGCAAAGAGAACACAAGGAAAAGTGAGGGAAATAGAAGAATTTTATAAAAATATGTGTTATTTTCAAAACAAAAATTTTCGATTATTTTTTCCTTAAAAAAATTGTGTGGAATTTATTAGAATCAACCGGCATGTGAGCTGAACTAATGCCGTTTAGAGTGTGGCTAGAAGCATTTTCAAACAAAATTTTAATTTTCTTCACTCAGTAATGTATATTAAAAGTGAAAACTCAATAATTTCTTTACAATCTGTAAATACCCTAAACATCGCGCAACGTCATTTAGGCGAACAAATGCGAGAGTTGCTTTTTTTCAATAGTTTTTTGTTGCAGTGATATAATTGGGGTATTTAAAGTGATTTATTATTATTTTTTAGTAGAAACTAAAAACTAGAAGCTTTCCAATTTTAATTGTTTTTTGGTATATATGTATAATTTCCAAAGTGTTTAAATAGATTTTTAAGAAATTTAGAACATTCCGTGCTCGTTATGGTTGACCCATTACACTTGCTTTCGAAAACGTGTGCCGATTTTTTCTAACCAGAAATTTAAATCTTTTTTACACAAATTTAGTTTACATCAAAGTGCTTTTTTGCTGGAAATTTCAGTGAGAAACTTTGCGGACGTAAATATACAGTTGCAAATAAATTTGTACAACTACATCGTGGTGCTTGGACTTTTTATAAAAAGGGTTTCCCTATTTAATTTTTTCGTGTAGACGAATCTACAGTTTGAAATCAAATAGTATCTGTGCTTCTTGTGCTTTTCCAGCGGACGACGAGGGGTCCACTTTTATCTAGTTTTATTAGGTCAAAGCTCAAAAAGTTCGTTAGGTTTTTTTATTGATTTTTCGAAATATGAGAACTTTCTGTACATTTGTCCGATTTAAGTCAAACCCTATTGGCAAAAAACTCGGAGAGCAAATTTTCGCAGCCCTCTTTTGAGGCCAACTTATCGCCATTAAGCGCGTTCGCCATAGACAGGAAAAGTTGGTAATCACTTTGTGCCAGATCCGGACTATAAGGTGGGTACATTATGACCTCCATCCGAGCTCCTAAAGCTTCTGGCGCGTCACCAAAGACGTATGTGACCTGGCGTTGTCCTGATGGCACACAGTTCGGCTTCTGTTGATCAAAGATGGTCTCTTCTGGATGAATGCTGCTTTCAAGCAGCCCACTTGCTTGCAGTAGAGAGGCGAATTGAACGTCTGGCCATAGGGGAGCAGCTCGTAGTAGATGATTCGTTGCCAATCCCACCAACCACACAGCAAAGCCTACCCGGCCGTCAATCCGGTCTTGGCCACCGTTAGGCCGATTCCCTGAGCTTTGACCATGACCGTTTGCACTCGTTGTTGTCTTAACTGACCCATTTTTCATCGCCAGTCACAATCCGTTTCAGAAACGGGTCGATTTTGTTGCGATTCAGCAGCGATTCGCGATGGAAACTCGGTCCATCGTGTTTTTTTGCGTTAGTTCATGCGGCAAACATCGAGCTTCAACTGTCAAAGACATACTTTTAGCGCGCATAAGCACGTTTTCAGCGCCGTATAGTAAGACATGATGCGACACGTAACACTAGTAGACTAGACTAGATAAAAACCCAACGAACTTTTTACTTGACCCAATAATGTTCAAAAAGAGGCTTCTCTAAAACAGTAAACCTTTCCTATTACTCATTGTAGGTCTCTTCCTCGGGAATATATGCAAACATTTATTGAGAGTTCGTAATTTGTTAATTATTCTTTTGAAAATATAAGTGAAAAGCTACCAACTAAAAATCTGCCCTTTTTTTAAGCTCTTTTTCGCCAGATTCAGTACAGAATATAGTACATTAATCAATTAAATATATATATATATATATATATATATATATTTTTTTTTATTTGATTTTCAATTAATATTTTTTTACTTTCAAAATATTTGTATTTAAGTACTGAGAACGTTATTAAACACAGGGATGTTATAATATGAAGAGAAAACTTAAATTTATTTATATTAAGCAGCTGATTGAATGTGTAACATCTCTGGATCTTATTTGACTAATATAATTTTTTAACAAATTTGAAGATCACCGACCAAATTAAAATTGATTAATGAAAAGAAAAATTCAAAAATTAAGTAATTTTTCACTTAAATTAATACCAAGTGGAGTCTTTAAAAGAGGCGTGATCAGCACTGGGAGCGACTGTACTGGCAGTGAGTGAGAAGCAATATACACTCTGAGCAGTCCTCTTTATTGACATATAAACATGTCTAAAAAACACCCTTTATTTTAGAAAATTGTAAAAAAGCTAAAGTAGTCCCTTGAATGCGCTTTCTTAATATAATTTATTGCTATTATAGGTCTTTTCCGAATATTTTTTTTTATAAAATAATCACTCATTATTTGGATATAATTAGTTTGTGAAAGCAAAAATTAGCTACTGAAGCGAGCATAAAAATTAAAGTATCCAAATGTAAAAAAAAAAAAATCAACTAAAATCACTGAAATCAGTAAAGCCAACTTCAAAATAATAATAATAATTGCCAGCAATTATAAATTCGTCATTAAATGGTCAGTTGTTTTTTGTCTGGCTTAAAAGAATGCGTAGATTAAATACACAACAAAACTTTCGGGCAACTAAGTTTGAGCGTTAAGCAAAAATAAGTAAAAAGTGAAAAAAATTTAAAAAAAATACAAATGAATATATTAAAAAAATAACAAAATAAAAAAATTAAAACTAAAAATATTTTAACCAAAAACGTGCTCAAAATCGTCTTAAATTCAAAGCAAGCAAAAACCTAAGATTTTCAAAGATTTTGGCTTTTTAAGAAAATAAACAAAAAAGTTTATAGCAATAATGATATTTTCGCATATACATATATGTATGGCTTCTTTTTTTTTTGTAACTAAATTTTACTAGCACTTTCGCTGAAATTAGCTTGAACGCAAAAGACATTTGCGCATGCGTACCTACAAAGCATTGTGCCGCAGCACTAAAAAAAGGGTTGGCAGCAAAGCAGGCTTTCGATTTGTATGCGTTTAACACGTTGAAGTGTAAATGTTTTCTGAAGTCATAAATAAAATGTAAAATGTATTTATGAGCACTTTACTGCCGCTACTTACTTACTTAGTGCGTCACGCGGCAAACCTGGCAGTTACTTGCCAACCAGTAGCTGCAAACGGCATTACATGGTAATGAATGCATACGCCTTGCGTGTACTTAAGCAGATTTATGGGTAATCTCTGTTGGTATTTTGAAGTTACAAATACTGGACCATTATACAGTTTACTTTATTTAAAAACAAAAAAACTACAAAAAAATCATAAAAATAAAATAATATGTAAATAATCTCTTCACAGCAATTTTAGTTGCATTTAAGCACTCGCACATTTTGTTGCTGTATTTTTATTTATTTTTTTTTTTAATTTTTCTTTTTTTATTGCTCTCACTTTTAATGGTATCTGCCAAATCTTCGAAATCGACATTATGAATACGAGAAAACTGACAAAAAAACTCCCACCAAATCATTTATATAGCGAAAGGGAAAGGGTAAATTGTTGGGGGAAAACAACAAAAATCTGCTCTGCTCATAAATACAACATATGAAACGAGAAATTTTCTGTTTTTTTCCTTATACATTTTTTCCAAAGATTTATTTATTTTTTAATATTAATTGCATTTGAATTAAGGAAAAATTATGACCCTGCAATAATTATCTATCCATGTGTGTATGTGTCTATTACCACCACATTTTTCTCTCTTCACAGTTAAAGAAAAGTCAAAGTTGTTGAACATTTATTTAACTTAAGTTTAAATTTTCATGATGAGTTGAGTTGATGCGGTTGCTGAACAGACCGATGTAATGTAATGTACTTTTCACCTTTTCGTACGTAGGAACCATTTCATGTACCTTGTGAACGATGCGATCCAAGCCCTAACCAGCCGTTGCGATGCCAGCAAGGCAATCAAAGATGTGATATCCTAAGTATTTATATCGTAAAAGCGTAGGTCTGAAAAGTGACAGAGGTAGGGCTCGACAAACTCTTCCTGTTCTTCGTCTCTGCAACTTCGACAAAAATTAATAGAAAAGTAACCCATGGGGCCTATCACACGTACCTTGCACCAGGCTTCCTACTCTGTGTAAGGCATTTTGAAGTGAATCACTTAAGAGTTGCGAGTTCTTCCCCATAGCCGTTAGGTTAATATTGCCGACGTACTCGTATTAGCAAGCCACATCCTGTGCCATATATTTGCTGTATCAGCGGGTTGACTGCGAGAAAAAAAAATAAATAAAAATTTTAATTTTTTAAAACTTATTAAAAATGATTAAATGAATGAAGTTAAATATACATTGAGTAACTAACAAAATTCTGTAAATTACTTTACGCAATATTTTTTGGTTTTTACTGCAACGTTGCC